TTGCGGTCCCCGGTTTTTTTTGGAGGAAACGTAGGGATCCTGAAGGCATGTCATACTTCGGCTTGCGAAGCCTTGCGTCAAAGTTTCGCTTGTAGCGCGCTTGTTCTTTTCGCAGGCTCTTATCAGCGCCTTTCATCAGGCTTTCCAACCACGACTGCCATTTCAGGTAGTACGCTCGACTCGAGCTAAATCCTTCCAAACTTGGCTGTGCTTGTAACGCAATGCTTCTCGGCGCCCGAGCTAACACCAGCTCGATGACGGGCGGACAGGAAGGGAGATTGGAGTGTGGGGTGGAGGGGCCCCCCCCCCCCCCGGGTGGGTGGGCGCCTTTTCTCGCGCCGGTCCCGCGGTGTTGACGAATCTCGGGGCTCCACCGTGCTGCGTGGCTTGATACTGAAAGTGGTTACGCATGCTCGGGGATGCACGGCGAGCACTGTTCATCCGCGGGGATGGGGCCGCGACGCAGGCCGCGCGGCTCGGCTTGGCGTGTAAACAGGACATGGTCGGCGGGCGCCCTACAAGTTGTGTATACGCCTCCGGTGTGAAACAATGTATGATATGGAGGGGCATCCATTTCTCTAATTGCTGGATGCGTCACAGAACTTGTCTTTCTTTATGATACTACTATCGTTTCTCCCGAGCAGCAAGACAGTGATAGTCCAGACCCTATTCCTGAGGATGAAGTCCCGGCTCGCGCTGCGGGGGCGTGCTCACGGCTGTGCGCAATGCCGGCGCAGCGCGTAGCATTATTACGTAAAAGGTCGTGAAGGTCGGTACGTAAGAGGTCGGTACGTTGTCGGCGAATGGCCACCTCTCACCCTGCTCCTCGTCACGTCCGACAGTACACGTAACAGTCCCGTTTACTATTTTGGCAAACATAAAACTATTTTGGCAAGGCCTGCTTGCCCTTTTTGCCCCCCTTCGTCTCGGTCTTCGTCTCGCTACATGTACGTGTGCTGCTGCTGGCCGGGCAGCAGAGTGATTTCGAGGCTCCATCCCCTCGTCCCCCGCGGAGAGCCTTTCGTGGGGCGTGCGTGCGTTTGTACTGTCAGGGAGGTTTGTGGTTTCTGCGTCGGTGATCAAAATCGGTGATCAAAATCGGTGAAGGACTTGGTAAGATACGGCCTTTTTCACCAGACATGCCTAGAAAAAAGGCAAAAAAACGGTCACTTGCCACATTTTATCATGAACTTTCATGATAGCTGTTAGATGCATTTATTGTAACCTGTTACAGTACTGTACCGTTGGGTACAGTATAAGTCCCGCAGGGAACAGACTTATAACCAACGAGCGACGACGAG